CATGGAAAGGTTTCTTCACAGTGAGAGCTGTGAGAATGTGGAATAGACTCCCTCAAGAGTTGGTTCTGGCCAGCTCAGTGGATTGCTGTAGGAAAGTCCTGGATTGTTTCTTAGATAGAATAGAATTCTTAGACAGAATATAACTGGATATAACATTTATAGGTAAAGTTGATCCAGGGAATATCCAATTGCCTCTGGGGGGATCAGGAAGGATTTTTTTTCCCTGCAGGAGCAAATTGGATGGATCATGCTTTGCTGGGGAGTTTTTTTGCCTTCCTCTGGATCAACTGTGGGTATAGGATTGTACCTTTTTTTTTTTTTTTTTTTTTTTTTGTGGTTGAACTGGATGGACCTTTGTATTTTTTCAGCCAGACTAACTATGTAACTATATGTTGTCTTAGCAGTGTACAGATACAATATGACTGGAAACAACTCCAAGCCAAGTATGAGAAGAAATATCATTACCTCTGAAAGGGAGATGCAGTCAATCAGATCCTAGCAAAGAGGGATGATGAATGTAACGCCTTTTGTTGGGAAATGTCTATAGTGATTGCTCATCTCTCTCCACAGAATAACATCGTTGCGAAGAAGGCATCGGGAGATGAACAGGACCCCATTACGGTTCCTCTACATTCCTTACTGGTTCCAGAAAGAAAAAATGAAGAGAAGATTTTACAAGTCACCCAAAAGATCACTGACGTCCTTATTGGAGAGGTGAGCTGTGCCAGGAATTCTGGGACATTGACCAGTAACAGACAAGGGATGTGTCTGGATGGTGACTGTATCATTGTGTGTGTCAGGTTCCTCCATGGAAGATGCTTTACTATTTTGTTTTACATTTATATTCAGAGTGGAAACTGGAGCAATTTTAATGTTGGTTCCAAAGAAAATATAAAAGAAGGAGAGCAGGAGCCTAGTGTGATGGAAGGACAGAAGGATCTCTACAAGGACGTCGTGATGAAGAATCAGCCGCCCCTCACATCACCGGGTAATAGGAGACTTTATTGTAAAGGAGAGAGCAGTATGGAGGATCCACCTAGATCCCCCATCATCTGATAAACACATAGAAACAATGGATTCAGTCAGTGTGTGTGTTTCCTACAGCTGGATCCAGTAACCGAAAGCCACCAAAGAGACGTCCCCGTCCTCGGAATGCCCGAAAATCCACGCAGACAGATCGCACCATCCCTCACCATGATAAGGTAGATGGGATTGAAGATGTCAGATTTACACTTGGCTCTGAACTGTATTAGATGATATTCTTCTATGTAGTCTCAGGATAATAGTGCTCACAATCCTACTGTAATTATAGGGAGAAGAAGTGATGGGTATAAAAATTGTTATTAAAGAGGAAGAAGAGATGTTTTTGATCGATGATCAGCTGTCTCTAAATGAAAATGAAATACTGGAAACAAAGACCCAGGAGGAATCTTCTATATATGGCAGCACAGGTAAAAATGATGTAATATGAAATGAAACGCTTCATATTTTTTAATTTTATGTTCATTCTTTCGTATTTCAATCAATTATCAAATTTTAGGAATGCAGATTGACCAAAAAAGATGAAAAATCCGCAATCCAACAGACAATTTTCAGAGAGGATGCCTTGACCGTTGAAAGAATAATTTTGGCTTCTTATGATATGATGGAAAAGTATCCAATGAACCTACATTATACTACATCCCATGCAGTGGAGATACTGTAAATCATTAGGTCTATCTCCATTCCTCAATATAACGTCATGTTCCCAACAAATGAGGAAGAGTTACTGGACACCATATGAAAGGTCCATCTCCATTCCTCAATATAATGTCATGTTCCCAACAAATGAGGAGGAGATACTGGACACCATATGAAAGGTCCATCTCCGTTCCTCAATATAACATCACAATCCCAACAAATGAGGAGGAGATACTGTACACCATATGAAAGGTCCATCTTCATCCCTCAATATAACATCATATTCCCAACAAATGAGGAGGAGATACTGGACACCATATGAAAGGTCCAACTTCATTCCTCAATATAACGTCATGTTCCCACAAATTTGGTGGTGGAAGGTCCATTTCTGTTCCTCACCATATCAATGTCATTAATGTACAGTTGTGTCCAAAATTATTCAACCCCCAATGCTGTAAAGGGGTTTAGGGACTATAGTGTACATTTGGAATTGTATTCAGAATCAAATCCTACAAGGACGTTGTAACTACCCAAATGCAACTAAAATGACATCAATTGTTTATGTAATACAGTAGTAAATGGTTCTTATGTGGTTTCTTCATTGCCACAATTATTCAACCCCTTAAAGACTACCACTCTGAAGAACAGAGGTTCATACAGGTGCTTTCCATCAGGTATTGAAAACACCTGTGGATGTCACCGAGCAGCAATCAAGCATAATAAGCACCAATTAGGCAGCTTTAAAATGACTGTGATACTCAGCTCCTTCTAGACATTTACTGGTGTGGTTACAAACATGGTGAAGGCAAGAGAATGGTCCAGGAAGACAAGAGAAGAGGTGATTTCTCTTCACAGGAAGGGCAATGGCTATAAGAAGATTGCAAAGATGTTAAACATACCAAGAGACACCTTAGGAAGCATCATTCGCAAATTCAAGGCAAAGGGCACTGTTGAAACGCTACCTGGTCGTGGCAGAAAGAAGATGCTGACTTCGACTGCTGTGCGCTACCTGAAGCGTAGAGTGGAGAGAAGTCCCCGTGTGACTGCTGAGGAACTGAGAAAAGATTTGTCAGATGTGGGTACAGAAGTTTCAGCCCAGACAATAAGACGCACACTGCGTAATGAAGGCCTCCGTGCCAGAACTCCCAGGCGTACCCCCTTGCTGTCTCCAAAGAATAAGAAGAGTCGACTGCAGTATGCCAAAAGCCATGTGGACAAACCACAAAAGTTGTGGGATAGTGTTCTGTGGACTGATGAAACAAAATTAGAACTGTTTGGGCCCATGGATCAACGCTATGTTTGGAGGAGGAAGAACAAGGCCTATGATGAAAAGAACACCTTGCCTACTGTGAAGCATGGTGGAGGGTCAATCATGCTTTGGGGCTGTTTTGCTTCTGCAGGTACAGGGAAGCTTCAGCGTGTGCAAGGTACCATGAATTCTCTTCAGTACCAGGAGATATTGGATGGAAACGTGATGCAGTCCGTCACACACCTGAGGCTTGGGAGACGTTGGACCTTTCAACAGGACAATGATCCCAAGCATACCTCCAAGTCCACTAGAGCATGGTTGCAGAGGAAAGGCTGGAACATTTTGGAGTGGCCATCGCAGTCACCAGACTTAAATCCGATTGAGAACCTCTGGTGGGACTTAAAGAAAGCAGTTGCAGTGCGCAAGCCTAAGAATGTGACTGAACTGGAGGCCTTTGCCCATGAAGAATGGGCGAAGATACCCGTAGATCGCTGCAAGACACTTGTGTCAAGCTATGCTTCACGTTTTAAAAGCTGTTATAACTGTAAAAGGATGCTGTACTAAGTACTAAGATTGAATGTCACTTGGGGGTTGAATAAAACTGATAATGCTGTGAGCACAGAAAAGACATTTGTGGTTATTTCATTTATAACTGTTATGTTATATTTGTCTGACCTACAAGTGCCTCTTTAATGTAAATGTAAGCAAGATGACTGAATGATCAAAAGCAATGTCAAACTGGCCAAAACACTCAATTTCAGTGGGGGTTGAATAATTTTGGACACAACTGTATGTCCACCTCCACCCAGGTGGCTATAGTTTTGCTTTGGTTGTCTGGTTTGGTTTGCTGACTTCTGTCCTTGCACAATTATCTCTGTACCCAAGATGTTGATAGCAGTTGACTTCTACACTAACATTCATTATTCCTAACTGCAAACAAGTTTTGATATTTTTATTATTATTAATGAAAAAATATTTCCAACAGTAGGCCAGAAAAGCAGGAATACCCCAGAGGGACGTCTTATTTTACCTGCCAATTATAATAAAGACGATGTTGGCATGGCGCTGTGTTCTCCAGGAAAGAGCATCGTTGCTAAAAATTTACATCGCCAACTTAATCTTTTGGTAAGATCAACAAATCAGTTTAACCACTTGAGCTCCAGAAGGTTTTACTCCCTTCATGACCAGGTTATTTTTTGCTTTTCAGTACTGTTTTTTTTTTTTTTTTTAATCAAGTCCCGTTATGCCTTTAAAAGTGCACTTTAGAAAGAGTTTTGAACAGCTAAAAGTCTTTTTTTTTTTTTTTTTTTTTTACATTTTTCTGACCTTTGGAACGGATTAATTGGTTTTTAATGCATTTATGAATTCATTTTTAATCATGTCCCTGTACAGTATTTATCCCTTTAAAGTGCACTTTATAAAGAGTTTTGAACAGATAAAAAACTTTTTTTTTTACTTTTTTCAACGCATTTACAATTTTTTTTATCATGTCCCTTTATGCCTGTAAAGTGCACTTTATAGAGTTTTGAACAGATAAAACTTTATTTGACTTTTTTCTGACCTCCGGAATGGATTAATTGGTTTTCAATGCATTTACACATTTTTTTTTAATCATGTCCCTTTATGACTTTTAAAGTGCACTTTATAAAGAGTTTTGAGCAGATAAAAGACTTTATTTTTTTACTTTTTTCTGACCTCCGGAACGGATTAATTGGTTTTCAGTGCATTTACAAATTAATTTTTAATCATGTCCCTGTACAGTATTTATGCCTTTAAAGTGCACTTTATAAAGAGTTTTGAACAGATAAAAGACTTTGTTTTTTTACTTTTTTCTGACCTCTGGAACGGATTAATTGGCTTTCAATGTATTCCTATGGGAAACCGCGTTTCGGTTTACGAATTTTTCGCAATACGAATCGTCCCGCAGAACGCATTAAATTCGTGAACTGAGTTACGCCTGTATATTGATATTCCGTACATCTGTATGAATTTTCTCACCATTATCTGTATCCTTTTTCAGAATTGTGAAAAAGCATTCAGCATGAAACCAGACCAGGCGTTTCTCACCTCGAAAAACCCTTTGTCTGCCCCCAGTGTGGGAAAGCCTTCTTGAGGAAATCGGGACTGGTTCAACACCTGAGGATCCACACCGGCGTGAAGCCGTGCCCGTGTCCTATCTGCGGGAAGTGTTTCATCGACAAGTCGCAGCTCAATAGACACAACAAAGTCCACTCCGGCGAGAGGCCCTTTCCCTGTCCTCAGTGCGGGAAGTGCTTCTCTCATAAAGGGAACCGCGACAAGCACATTATAATCCACACCGGGTTGAAGCCGTTTTCCTGTTTTCAGTGCGGGAAATGTTTCGTGCAGAAAGTGTCACTAATCCTGCACCAGAAAACACACACCACCACCTGAGGGCTGCCGAAAAATGTATGGCGGCATTTCATTGGCCGAATCGTAACAATACAGTCTGAAACAGGGGCGAACTGACAACTCATGGGGCCCCTGGGCAATAGGAGATCATGGAGCTCCTGTGTCCTTGCCCAAACTCAAAAAAGCCTATGAAAAAGGTACCAGGGGCATCTCATGGGGCCCCCTACTGACCCCGGGCCCTCGGACAGTGCCCCAGTTTCCAAATGGTCAGTCCGCCCCTGGTCCGAAAGGATCAGCCAACCTATATGGAATATTTTAGGTTTTTCTTTTTTTTTTCTTTTTTGTGTAATCTCTGTTCTTTCATTCTTTTTTTAGTAAATTTTTGCCGTTTATAATTTATTAGGCATTTTATGTTGCTTAAAACTAATTTTTTTTCTCTTCTCCATTCTGGGGGTTTTCCACCTCTTCCTGTTGTGGTATACAGGCAAGACTTGCAGGAAAGTCTACTCCACAAAGTCGCATAAAAGTAGTTTAGGAACCTTCGTGTATCAAAAGTCGCTTTTTTTTGGGGGGGGGCTTGTATGACAGGTTTTTGTTCATATAGAGCGACTTTAATCAAGTCGCACTAATATAAACAGAACTGTCATACCAAAAAAAATGACTTTGCACATATAAAGGTTCCTGCACTACTTTCACGCGACTTAAGTGCCATAGAGTGTAACGTCGCATCAAAGTCGCACTACATGAACAGAACTGTCGTACTTTCCTATTAGCCAAAAAAACAAAAAAATGCAACTTTGGGTACATAAAGGTTCCTGCACTACTTTCATGCAACTTTGATCTGACTTGAGTGCCAGAGAGTGTAACATTGTATCAAAGTCGCACTACATGAACAGAACTGTTATACTTTCCTATTAAAACAAACACATAAAAAATGCAACACTTGCATGCGACTTTACACTCTCTGGCACTCAAGTAGCATCCACTACTTTCATGCGACTTTGATCTAACTTGAGTGCCAGAGAGTGTAACGTCGCATCAAAGTCACACTACATGAACAGAACTGTTGTACTTTCCTATTAGCAAAAAACACGCGATTTTGGACACACAAAGGTTCCTGCACTACTTTCATGTGACTTTGATGCTACTTGAGTGCCAGGGAGTATAAACACCTATCAAAGTTGCACTACATGAACAGAACTGTCATACTTTACTATTAGCAAAAAAAAAAAAAAAGCAGTGCAACTTTTGACAAATAAAAGGTTCCTGCACTACTTTGATGCGATTTTGATGCTACTTGAGTTTTAGAGCATGTCAAGCCATATCAAAGTTGCATGAAAGGAATGCAGGAACCTTTATGTGTCCAAAATCGCATGTTTTTGGCTATTGGGAAAGTACGACAGTTTTGTTTATGTAGTGCGACTTTGATGCAACGTTATGCTCTCTGGCAGTCAAGTCAGATCAAAGTCGCATGAAAGTAGTGCAGGAACCTTTGCGTATCCAAAGTTTTGTGTTTTTTTGGCTATTAGGAAAGTACGACAGTTCTGTTCATGTAGTGCGACTCTGATGCGACGTCACACTCTCTAGCACTCAAGTAGCATTCACTACTTTCATGCAACTTTGATGTGACTTGAGTGCCAGAGAGTGTGATGTTGCATCAAACTTGCACTACATGAACAGAACTGTTATAGTTTGCTATTAAAAAAAAAAAAGCATCACAAATGCAACACTTGCATGCGACTTTACACTCTCTGGCACTCAAATAGCATGAAAATAGTGCAGGAACCTTTATGTGTCCAAAATCGCATGTTTTTGGCTATTAGGAAAGTATGACAGTTCTGTTCATGTAGTGCGACTTTGATGTGACGTTACACTCCCTAGCACTCAAGTAGCATCCACTACTTTCATGCGACTTTGATGTGACTTGAGTGCCAGAGAGTGTAACATCGCATCAAAGTCGCACTACATGAACAGAACTGTCATACTTTCCTATTAGAAAAAAAAAAATGCAACTTTTGAAAAATAAAAGGTTCCTGTACTACTTTGATGTGACTTGAGTTTTAGACAGTGTAATGTCATATTAAAGTTGCATGAAAGGAATGCAGGAACCTTTGTGTCCAAAATCGCATGTTTTTGGCTAATAGGAAAGTACGACAGTTCTCTTCATGTAGTGCGACTTTGATGCAACGTCACACTCTATGGCACTCAAGTAGCATCCACTACTTTCATGCGACTTTGATGTGACTTGAATGTCATAGAGTGTAACGTCGCATCAAAGTCACACTACATGAACAGAACTGTCATATTTCCTAATAGCCAAAAAAAACACAAATTTGGATACGCAAAGGTTCCTGCACTACTTTCATGCGACTTTGATGCTACTTGAATGCCAGAGAGCGTAACGTCGTATCAAAGTCGCACTACATAAACAGAACTGTCATACTTTCCTATTAGCAAAAAAAAAAAACCAGTGCAACTTTTGACAAATAAAAGGTTCCTGCACTACTTTGATGCAACTTTGATGCTACTTGAGTTTTAAAGCGTGTCAAGCCATATCAAAGTTGTATGAAAGGAATGCAGGAACCTTTATGTGTCCAAAATTGCATGTTTTTGGTTATTGGGAAAGTTTGACAGTTCTGTTCATGTAGTGCGACTTTGATGCAACGTCAAGCTCTCTGGCATTCAAGTAGCATCCACTACTTACATGCAACTTTGATATAACTTGAGTGCCATAGAGTGTAACGCCATATCAAAGTCGCACTACATGAACAGAACTGTTGTACTTTCCTAATAGCCAAAAACATGCGATTTTTGGACACATAAAGGTTTCATGCGACTTTACACTCCCTGGCACTCAAGTAGCATCAAAATCGCATCGAAGGAGTGCAGGAACCTTTGTGTATCCAAAATTGTGGGTTTTTTGGCTGATAATAAAGTTGCATGAAAGGAATGTAGGAGCCTTTATGTGTCCAAAATCGCATGTTTTTGGCTATTAGGAAAGTATGACAGTTCTGTTCATGTACTGCGACTTTGATGTGACGTTACACTCCCTAGCACTCGGGTAGCATCCACTACTTTCATGCGACTTTGATGTGACTTGAGTGCCAGAGAGTGTAACGTCGCATCAAAGTCACACTACATGAACAGAACTGTCGTACTTTCCTTTCATGTGACTTTGATGCTACTTGAGTGCCAGGGAGTATAAACTCCTATCAAAGTTGCACTACATGAACAAAACTGTCATACTTTCCTATTAGCAAAAAAAAAAAAAAAATGCAGTGCAACTTTTGACAAATAAAAGGTTCCTGCACTACTTTGATGCGACTTTGATGCTACTTGAGTTTTAGAGCGTGTCAAGCCATATCAAAGTTGCATGAAAGGAATGCAGGAACCTTTATGTGTCCAAAATCGCATGTTTTTGGCTATTAGGAAAGTACGACAGTTCTGTTCATGTAGTGTGACTTTGATGCAACGTAATGCTCTCTGGCAGTCAAGTCAGATCAAAGTCGCATAAAAGTAGTGCAGGAACCTTTGCGTATCCAAAGTTTTTGGTTTTTTTGGCTATTAGGAAACTACGACAGTTGTGTTCATGTAGTGCGACTTTGATGTGACATTACACTCTATGGCACTCAAGTAGCATCCACTAATTTCATGCAACTTTGATGTGACTTGAGTGCCAGAGAGCGTAACATTGCATCAAAGTCGCACTACATGAACAGAACTATTAACCAAAAAGAAAAACACATAAAAAATGAAACACTTGCATGCAACTTTACACTCTATGGCACTCAAGTAGCATGAAAATAGTGCAGGAACCTTTATATGTCCAAAATCGCATGTTTTGGCTATTAGAAAAGTATGACAGTTCTCTTCATGTAATACGACTTGAGTGCCATAGAGTGTAAAGTCGCATCGAAGTCGCACTACAGGAACAGAATTCATACTTTCCTATAAGTCAGCAAATGCAACTTTGGACACATAAAGGTTCCTTCATTCCTTTTATGCGACTTTGATAGGACATTACACTCTCTGGCACTTAAGTAGCATCAGAGTCGCACTACATGAACAGAACTGTCATACTTTCCTAATGGCTAAAAACATGAGATTTTGGGCACATAAAGGTTCCTGCACTACTTTCATGCTACTTGAGTGCCAGAGAGTGTAAACTTATATCGAAGTCGTACTACATGAGCAGGACTGTCATACTTTCCTATTAATCAAAAGAAAAAAAAAACGCATCAAAAATGCAACACTTGCATGCAACTTTATACTCTATGGCATTCAAGCAGCATGAAAGTAGCGCAGGGACCGTTATGTGCCCAAAATTGCATGTTTTTGGCTATTAGTATAGTATGAAAGTTCTGTTCATGTAGTGCGACTTTGATGCGACTTGAGTGCCAGAGAGTGTAACGTTGTATCAAAGTCGCACTACACGAACAGGACTGTCGTACTTTCCTATTATGCCAAAAACATGCGATTTTGGACAAGCAAAGGTTCCTGCACTCCTTCGATGCTATTTTGATGCTATTTGAGTGCCCAGGATTGTAAACTCCTATGAAAGTCGCACTACATATACAGAACGATCGTACTTTCCTATTAACCAAAAGAAAAAAAAACGCATCAAAAGCACAACACTTGCATTTCTGCTACAGGTCCATTGAAGTCTGTTACACACAGAACGCAAATCTGCAGCAAGGAAGAAAAGTCCCTGACCCTTTCCGGAAAACGCAGCGGCTCAAAACGCACAGATGTCCACATCTGTGCGTATTTGAGCCGGTACGTTTCCCGCCCATTTAACATGGTTTGCTATGGATCTTGTTCACAGTAGGCTGTAGTGCGTTTCTGCAAGGGTCAAACGATCTATTTAGTAGAGCGGGGGGAAGAGTTTGGCCTCCCTTTTCTCATGTATGTACATGTCCAGAGAGACTTTGTGTCCCAATGATTGTTGTCGCTGGGAAATGTCCTCATCGGGGACACAGAGGACCCAACAGAGGAC